TACACGTACACACAGCAGCAGCTATGCATTGCACCCACACCTCCCCGAGCCACACACAATCTGCTCTGTGTTTGAGGATTTAGCGCGGAAGTAATAGTAATCCTCGCGCGACTCCTTCCTTTTGCAAACTTTCGATTTATAGATTTTTTTTTCTACTTCGCTCGCCTAGCAGTGCCGCAAATTTTATCCTAAAGGCAGAGAGCGAGGGAGTTGAAAAAAAAACGAAAACAAATATTCATTATTTGCATTTACGGCTTAGCTCGCTGAATGAATATTTAATTGAAATTTGTCCCCGTCGACGAGGTTCGCGCGCGCGAGAGATTGATTGGCGACTCGAACATGTTGTATGTATATTCCTTGCACGCCGAAAAAAAAACGTATCGAAATCCAAATTGAATCTTCCTCGTTCTGTATATGGAGCTTCAAAAAAAGGGAACAATGATTTTAATTGCCTTGTGCGTATGCTCTCTTCACACATACACACACACACACATACATATACACGTACCCATACATATATAGACTCGCAGCTAGTATATATGCGGAGTATGCGATAATTTTATCAAGCGCACGAGAGTCAATCGATAGGAGAAACGTCGCGCTATTGAATCTTGCCGTGGGTCTGCGCTGCAGCGAGAGCAGTTTATAGGCGTATACACGCCCCCCTCTCCTCGAGAAAGTTTGCCGAGAGAGAGAGAAGCCGCGAAAGGAGCTATAGGGTATTACTCGATAAGTTGCCTCTATATCTTTCCGTGCAATGCATATGATGCATCCAAGGTATAACGAGTTTCTTGCAAAAAAGCTCGCCACTTTCGTTTTAGAAGAAAAAAATGAAGCAGCATCGCAAAAAGGTACTGCGCCGCATACTACACGGAGAAAAAAGAGCTGCGCCTGATACATAATCCATATTCGATGTACATATATTGCGCGTGAGAGAATCCTCGGAGCTCGGAGAGTATAGGGCAGCAAATCGCCTCGAGTCTTGCATATCCTCCTACACACGCACGCACACTTGGAAAGAGAGATGCTGCGGTATATATAGGTACGATAGCAGTTTGCTAAACTCCGATAATTTTCGCCACCGCCGAGCAGGCAGTGAGCGCTTAGGTAACTATGTACTCGGGGGTGCACAGCGCGCGCCAGTTCAATTCGAGATGCGCGGCTCGCTCTATACTGCGCGAGGAGAGGGCCTACTACATCCAGCATAACGCTGCGAGTGCGAAATTTTGAATCATCGTACTACTCCCCTGGATTCGAAGCTGCAGAAAACAGCGTGTAATCTTGTCCGTACATATACAGAGACACACGCGCAGACGAGAGAGCTGCAATTAAAACTTTGTCCTCTTCGTAGATGTGCGTGTTTCTATATATATGTATGTATGTGTGTGTGTTAGTGCATCCGTTATTAAATCACGTCCGATTTCATTAGCTCGTTGTACACGACATAACTTTATGATTTTGCAATCTCTTGCACACTCTATTCCGCATTTTCCCTGCGCTATATGTACTAGCTGCGTGTATATGCGCGAGCTGTGCGCGCAAAAGACATGTACGCACATGGCCGCACACGCTATAGCTCGCGCGGGCGCGCGCCATATACGCATGCATATTACATCAATAGGTGCAGCGCAGGCACACACGCAGCGTCGACTTTTTCGAAATGTCTCTGGCACTCGTATATAGTTGCAATTTACGCTGCTGCTGCTGCTGCTGCTGTTCTACGCGCCTGGACTCTACAGAATTCCAATAAAATATTTCATGCTCGCCCAGCTGAGCTTTTTCACTTGGATTTTACTTTCGGCCTTGCGCTGCCCGTAATCGAACGAAAATTACGATTCCCCGGCATAGTAGAAATAGAGAGGAAAAAAAACCCAACCCGAATACTGAACTTTTTGATTCGACAAAAAATAGTGAGGGAGAGAGAGAGAGAGAGAGAGAGAGCTGAAAGAGAGAAATCCATATCTGGCTCGATCCGCATTTAACCGACTCCCGTATATATCTCTATATTTTCTCATTTGTTTTTTCTTCCAAGACAGGTCGATCGAAATCGTCGCGCGCCTGCTTCTCTGATTTTTCTCATCCACCTAACGCACATCATACACTCACACACATACAACGGCCATAGATAGAGATGGAGAGAGACGTACGTATTACACTATACAGTGCAGTTGTCTCTTTGAAATAGCTCGACGATGTCTTTGATCGCGCACACGTACTCGAAATGTTTCTTTGTGGAGCGCGTCGTGTTTTACACGGGACACTTTTATCTGCGTGCAGCGAATGGATTTCTTTTGTTCGACTGGATCCACTTCCAGCGGCAGAAGCAGCAGTAGCAATATCACCCGCGAACTTATTACGTGTATCTATCTATTGACGTCTGTCTGCGCGTCGGCTATATATGTGTAGCCTAGATAGTATATATAGGTAAGCTATTACATACGGGCGAAGAGAAGCTCGAGCAGCAGCTCGAGTCTCGATTTAAAAGTCTCTCATTTTTTTTTGCGAGTAGCAAAGAGCGAGAGACGCGGTATGGCGTGGAGCGGCCGCTCATCACCTACACTCGCGCACACCCGCACTTATTACGTTGCTGCGTGTACATTAGGAGACTTTTTAATTGCTTTAATTCTCATCGCTGAAACAAAGAGCTGCCCGGCCCGTAATTCCGTTACTTCTCATTCTTATGTGTGTATGCGCGCGCGCGGGCTTGCAGTGCTTTTCTGTCTATGCATACGTGCCGACGTCTCTATGTTTGTTACGCACACATACTAAAACAGACGCATACACACACACACACAAATGCAATATGTAGAGTGTATAGTATACGTAAGCGCAGACGACTAGTAGCACGGCGCGGCAGAAGCAGTAGCAGAAGCGATTAACGTTACTTCTCCATGACACTTTAATTATGCCGCTGAGTAAATCTCCCGAAAAGACGGATGCGCGATAGCAGTAGCAGCATCGCAGGAGCAGTAGCAGCAGCAGCGGCGGTGGTGGCGAGCGAGAAATAATCCCTGCCACGTACTTTATCGCACCAGCTCGGCGTGAATATTCAGCTATCTCTAGCCCGGCTCGCTCTTCCCTTTCTCGGCGGCGAAGAGCAGCAGCAGCAGCAGCCGAGAGAGGCGTCGGCTATTATTTCGCTCCAGGGCTACTTTGATTTTATCAATTGTTTCGAAGCGAGTCGTTAAAACGATCGGCTGACCGAATACGACTGTTACTACTTAGAGCGCTGGAGCCTGTGTGCAGCCGTGTCCCCTTACTACCCTTATATACTCTACTACTCCGACCACGACCTCGTCGGACGGTGGTACTCCGAGAGTACTGCGTCCAGCTTCGTGTGCCTTTGTCAATTAGCTCTCGAGTCCATGGCACGTTCGATTTTACACGGACGATCCGATCATAGCTTTATACTCAGCCCCCCGAGCGTATACTTTGCGGCCTTTAATTAAAAATTTTTCAATAAGGATTACACGAGAGAAATTGTTGAATACGTGCAGCTCTTTTAAATTCATCATTGCCGGTCGCGCTCGAGTAGATTGATACTTATTAAAAAGCAAATAATAATCCCCCCATCCCCGACCGTTTCCCATCGACGAACAATAAATCAATCGACGTGGCATAAAATGAATAATAATTTCTCCTTCGCTCCTTCTTTCTCTCTCTCTCTCTCTCTCGCTCAACAGCGCTGGCTCGTCAAGCGCGACCATATAATAAAGAAAAATTTTGCGACGACCGAGTCAATTTCTTTTCTATCCCCGTTTTTTCTTCTCTCTCTTTGCCTGCTATTGCCCTCTTTCTCTTTATTTTTTGTTGTGTGGCACGTACGCGTGTTTATTTTACGACAAGAATCATTTTTCCATAAAGGTATGGCGCTGAAACTTTTACGGCTTTGGCTGCGCCGCGGCCGCCACCGCCGACGCTGTCAAGAAAAAATATGATATTTACGGCTTCTTTAGCCCCAAAGTATTTTGTAAGACGCGATCAGTATTATAGCCAAGAGGTAGAAAAAAGGCTTGCAGCTGGCCGTTTAAGAGTCTTCGGGGGGTATAGCGAGCTGCAGCAAAAGCCGCTCGGGTTAAAACCCGGGGCCGCGGCAACTCGCGAGATTTATTTTTCCCTATAACCATCGCGCCGCGTTTATTTCTCGGCTGCACTTTTACACAGAAAACGGCTCGAGCGTTAATCCGATTGGAAATTTTTCGACGTGCTCCGCCGAGTCCGAGGCGCTACAGCCAGCAAGCGATCGTTTAGCCCCCCTCGCGCGCGCGCCTGATGCGGATTTCGCAAGTTTTCGACGCAACGCACTTGCAGTCCGTATTATAGCTACGCCGCAGCAAAAACAAAAACAAAAGCAACAGCAGCAACAACAAGTTGTGCGCGAGCGAGAATTTCAAATATCCAGCTGCAAAATAAAAACTTAATTAAAAGTCGGAGTTTCGAGGAGCGATCCCGCTGCTATGTTAGTGGTGGTAGTTGTGCCAACAGGGTATGGCAGCAGCTCTCTCACTCTCTTTCACTACTGCATTATATAGGCAAAATGTCGAGAGAAAACTTCGAGAAGAGATTCGAGCTAATTCAAGACACAGCGAGTTTCCACTTTGCAGCCAAGGATTCTCGTTCGCAAACAAACAAGAATATCGTCGCACTCTCTCTCGAGCTCTCGCTTGGCTTGCCTCGGACTCTGGGATGAAGTTTGTTTGCGCTCCATGGAGCTATATAACTGCCGTGTGTTGTTTTTACCGCTCTCCCCAACGCATTCCCTATCCTCGACGCCGAGTGACAAAGTCCGCAAGGCGCTGCACATATGCGCACCTCGAGAGTACGAGCTACGGAAAAAAAGGAGCTAAGGCGCGAAGTTTTGCCGATTGCCGCTGTGTGGATTGCAGCGGCATCCGGTCCCCGGCGCGCGATAATAATGGCCGTGCGACGACTGCCAATGATCGAGTCGCGGAGCACTGCACTTATCGTCATTGGTTTTTTTTGTGTTTTTTTTTGCTTACCGGAAGCAGTGAGGAGAAGTACGAGCAGTAGCTGGAGCTTGGAGCTTTTTATGCTGCCGCCGCCTAGTGGACGACGGATCAGCTCCATGCCGAGCTGCGTCGGCTCCTCTCGCGGAGCTGCTCTCGCTATTTAGACTCGTAATGCGCTGCGCGAGACGTCGTTGCTCCTGGAGCAGCTGTACGATAATACTTCGATCGAGACGCGCCGCTACTATTTGTTCCGAGCACTGCTCCGAACCGATTTCAATTGCGGCCCGCACATGACCGCGGGATTTCCGTATGTTGTACTTTGTATGGGTACACTTTTATTACTCCCGATCGGATGTAGGAGTTTCACTTTTCTTCACTTGTGTCAACGAAACGAAACGAAAGAGAGATTCGCGGCACCATATCTTGATGGGACTTATCGTCTCCCCACTCGCGTGCGTCGTCTCGTCACTGTGCGAATAGAGCGTCGGAGAGAATTAGGTGGCTCGTGGGTGGTGGCGAGCAGTCGAGTAGTCGTGTAGTCGCGCAGCGCGTCTTTGGACGATCCGGGGGCACTAGGCGCGCTTCGCGCAGCAGTCGAGCGGCTACTGAACTTTCCGTGCAAGCGCCGTTAGAGCTTCGGCGGGCGGGCGGGCGAGCACGCGCGCAAGCGCCCAACCAAAGCTCAGCCATTTTACGCGAGACTTCCATATATTATACACGCGCGCGCGTCCCCTATGTACGTGTATAAGCCACGTCTGTCTGTGTGTATGTGAGTGAGTGTATACACATATAGCTGTACAGCAGCAGCAGTGCGGGGGGCTGTGTGGGTAGAATATAACTATATATGCGTGCGTGTAGTAGAGGGTAGTAGCGGAGCGTATATAAACGAGAATCCCTAGCAGTAGCAATGGGCACACCCCCGCGTCCCAACAACTTCGTCGAGCTCTCTCTCTCTCTCTCTCTGTGAGCGAGTGAGCGAGCGAACGTGCGGGCGGGTGACCTATACGCTCCCCCCGCCATACCTCCGAGCACCGCTTTTTTCGCGACTTTTTATTCAGCGACCCCTGAAGCTGATTGATTAGCTGACTGATTGAATACGCGCGACTATTTTTTCGACTCTCTCTCTCTCTCTTCGTGCACATTGCAGTGCCTCCGACTTCTGAGCTGCAGCTTACTTTAAGTAAGCGCGGGCGACCGCAACTCTGCACTGAGCAAGAAATGACTCTGCTTTCTCTGTTTCCCGGCGTAAACTCGACGCGTGTACCGTGAAGCTTGAGCATGCCGAGATATCGATACTGTATAATGCAAGCTCCAAGTGCCATTGCACTGACAGGCCTAGACAGATGCAATGCAATTGCCGCGCCCGTTTTTATTTCGACAGCCATAAATCAATCGTGTCCCGGCTAGACTCCAATACCCCAGCCCCGCAGCTTGTTATTTTTCGTTTTAATTTTTTTTTCGTTTCGCGCCCCCAGCTCCCACCTACGCACGCATGCACGTAGCCCCCCAGACTCGATGAATATTTATTTCTCCATTTTAACGAGACCATATTTTTCGGAATCAAGATCGAAATAATTTCAGGGGATATGTATAATTGAAAATTTACCGTTGTCTTGTCGAGAGGGCCATGGGTGAGTTAAAGGATCAGGGTAGTGATTCAGAGGAAGTTGCAAGAAAAAGAATCAGTGACGACGACGACGTCGTCGAGTCAGTGTGGCACTTGGAATTTAGGGTCGAGTCGTGGTCTTTGCTACTTAGCGCTCGTCGGCTCTCGGGGCTCCTGTGTGTATACCAATCGCGCCTAGGAGCTGTTACGGTGGCCGACCGCAGCTCGAGCTTTCAACGCACCGCGCGCTCGCCTCCTTCCTCACCCTTTTGTGTACAGACTAGAGCTCTTTTCCGAGACAATGCGGTTCTCCGGGCGTTAATTAGAACGAAGCTTTATCATTTTTGGTCCTTTTTCTTTTCCTCTCTCTCTCTCTTTTTCTCGCTCTCTCCCTTGACTTGACTTGGGCGCACGGATCATGCCGAGTTTAAAAAGCAAAGTTTTTATTGTGCAGCTCTCGTCCGTGGGCGTGTGTATATACTACCTATATGTATCTGAAAAAAGCTCGATCGTATTGATTTCGTTTCTCACCCCAAGAGGCAGATACCCGAGAAGCTTTGAGAAGTCATCGATACGTGCGTTATAGGAATATCGATGAAAATGACAACGAATACACGATATAAATTTATACATACATATAAGAATTTGGCAGTTTGCTGAAGTTGGAGCCGGGCAAAGTTTCTCCACGAGAAATTGCATAGTTGGCGTGAGCAGCGGCGGCGACGGCGGCAGCGGCAGCATCGAGAGTGTATACAGACGGGGGCCAAGTCATGTGTGAATTGAGATGTCAAGTACGCGCGCATGGAAGAGGACGGGGGAGGAAAACAGCAGCAGCGGCAACGGTGGCTTACATATAGAGCTCGAGCGCGGGAGGAGCTCGCACACAGCTCTCGGCCGACGTCCATCTTTCCGTGCGCGTCCGAGTGAATTTCTGAATTTGTTCACGCGTGCGAGAGTGTGAGCCGAGCGCAAAACTGTCGAAATTGTCGAATGGCATTCAAAGAGCGTATAATGTTAGCTGCTATATACGCATACGTCGACCTGTGCCGCCTGCGCGCAACTTAGATAATAGGCAAGAAACTTGCACTCCGTGTGTTTGTGCGTGAGTGTTGCTGTCTATACGGTGTGAAATATTTCGCTGCAGTTACCGCGGCTTGTCAATTCCCTCTTTCTCGCTCACTCGCGGCTCTGCGAGTAACTACATAAGCTCCACATGTAGATACTCTATCCCATGCGCTATATCTGCTTGACTAATGAGGCCGCTTTTCATATGCGCTATATCGATGTCCAAGGCCGCCGTGCCAACCTATATAGACTGGCTATATTTTCAACTCTCGAGCTGTAAATTGAATGTATATATACATGCGCGAGAGCAAGAGAGAACGAGCTTTCGAGCAACGTAACGCTGGAGTATATTAATTAAAAACTTTTGCTCGACAATTCTCGATTCCCGAGCTAAAACTACTCGAGATCGTGACGTACATATAGTAGAGGATATAGTATGGTAGGACTGCGTGGATAGGAGTGAATGACAACTGATGGCTTTTTTTTCTCGAATTCAAATAAACAAACACCGGTTTCGCTTCGGTAGAAAATACATTTAGTGTATTTACAGTAAATTGTATACATAATATTTCTTTTCATTTTTTTTACATTGTTCCTTAATATTTACATGTTCAAATGTTCAAGTTCGAATTTCCACGTGAATAGATTTTTTCTCACTTCTCCGAATAGGATTTTATTTCAACAATGTTACTGGTTTTGTTGAATTTTCTCCCCATTCTTTACTACTACTCTCATTCGCTTTGTTCGAAAAATTGATATTCTAAAAAATATAAACCTTGTTTTTTTTTTGTTCAACATTTTATGAAAATTTTGGTTGATCTTTCCGTTCATGAAGCTTTATGCGCTCCAAATGATGATTTGTGGGAACTAAAAGCATTTTTATTTTACAACAATTACCGGTTGTGCAGCTTTATGAAAAAATAAAAAAGCAGTTAGAATGAATTTAAAAACAAAAAGTATAATATCGAGTCATACATATATTTCTACCCGCGGTTAAAAATTTTTTTAACCCAGCTCGAAGAAAATATTTCAAGAGCATTTTAATCATTATAACAGTACATAATACACTATTTATAAATATATCATATATTCGTCGCAACGTGAAAAACAATTAACTTGTAACCTCGCAGACATTGATTATTGCTCAAAATCTTGTGCGAATCAATAGCTCTGAGCATGTAATAACGACAACAAAAAAAAAAGGAAAGAAAAAGAGTCTAAAAACAGGCTCTCGAGCTTTCATTATGACGTGTTATCGGCGTGGCCAATAAGTGATTCTTGATTAAATAAGCCTCGGCTCTCCTCGGCCATATAATAATGTGGGCTGCTCGCGATAATTCGCTTTATATACACATGCTTAACTGTATACAATTATCGGCTATGCTTATAAGCTTTATAATCTCAGCGTTACCTCGTCATTAATATTTTGTGTGCTTATACTCATATGCACATGTACACACACACCGACACACACACACGTACGCCATATGTCGATAATATAGTTTGTATTAAGACGATGCAAAAACAAGGAGAGAATTTCGAGCGAAACGAACCCGTTAGTGAAATGGATTATTTATTTATCTTATCGTCGGTGTGTAGGAAGTAAGAAAGCGAGAGAGAGAGAGAGGGGAAAGCTCGTATGTAATATACGTTGGCTTGGAACAGGCAGCAGCTATTTATGCATTCCGCGATATCGGAGATTTTTCGTATAAAAATATTTATTTTTGCGCGTTTATTATACATCACACGCGTCGTGTTTGGCATACTCAGCGGCGTAAATGTAGTACACGCAAGCTTGATTTATTGTGCTTGATTTTGTACAATAATGTTGTATACGGCATAGTCAACCGTTTAAATGTGAGATTAAATATAATACAGCATCACACGCGCTCTTTTCTCTTTTCCTCTCTTCTCTCTCTTTTCGATCTTACTCACGAAATAATAATCCTCTTATAATTACATTATATTTATTACTATCTCACGTATCAATTAAATTTACGTCGTATTAACGTTAATCGTCTCTCTCTCTCTCTCGTACGTAGAATCAAGATTTCACACTGATATCCCTTAGCGCGCGGTATACACGCTGTACTTACATTTTCCATTAAGAGCAGCTTTTTTCTTTTTTATTCAACATACATCATACATACATAGCCACACACTCACATTCATACGTGTGCACGCATTGGTATTGTATAAACGAAGCTCACCGAAAAGCAACGTAACGTATATAATTAAAATTACCTTCGTGTGTGCGCCTCGGTTCTTTTTCTCCCTCTCTCACTCTCGCAGTCGTGCAAATTCAATTAAAAAAGACATGAAGCCCATAATAATTATCATTATTAATAAAAGTTTAACTGAGCAAGGAAAAAAGGTCAATTTGCGTGCAACAAAGACGCTTTTCTTCTTTGCAATCTCTCTATATGTCAGGTACATCGAGGAACGGCGAGCGTGCGGGGAAAAAATAGGTAAAGGCAAGCGGAACGTCAAAATTTATAGTACAACGTGTACATGATAATGATACAAGGTAATACTATAAAAAAAGATAAGGTAGGGGGAAAGAACGGCACGCAGATGCGTGCATGTAAAATGCGGAGTTGCTGGGGCAACGAGAGCACACTTACACATCCATACAATATACATCTCTATGCATTAACTCTCTCTCTCTCTCTTTCACACACACAAACGCACACATACAATGCACACATAATAGTTGAGTATCCTTAGTTGACGCGCGTAATAACGCAAACTCGCTTCGCGAGCGGCTCTCTACGCGTGTTGATTATTTTGCAGATTTTTGTTCAGAAAAAAAACTTTCTTCAACCCTACAGTTAAACTCGCGTTACAATGATGGTCTCGCAGTGCATTTTGCCCGTGTACAGAAGTTCATTCCATTCGGTGAATTATGTGCAAGCAACGAAAACACGTACACGCATAGACGACTCTTATGCGCGCGACAGATAAAAAGAAGAGATAGTAAAAAAAGAAGGTTGTATAGGTGTTGGTCCACGCCGCACGATCCATTATGGGCCGAGCAAAGTGTAAAGAAAAACCTGAATGACGAGTGCCGACGTCTTCGTCGTCGGTGTCGTCGTGCTATATGGCCGGACTGAAACAGTGTCGTTGTCATTGTTGTGGTTGTTGTTGTTGTCGTTATTGTTGACGAGGCGTTGCCCGTGAAAAATCAGGCCTGCTTCTCCAACGTCGTCATGTCCCTGGAGAGAGCTGGCGGGATCTTCATTCCTCGCTGTAGGAGGAAGGGTTCAGCTCTTGTCAGACGTCGCCCCAAATCGTCGCCCACTTGGCTTTGTTCACTGAGGCCACGAAAGCGCCGTGCGGGTACCACGAGACTGCCGTTACTGGAGTCCTGAGAGAGCCAAGCGTGGACATGAAAGAAAAACAGACAAACATATTTTAGTATCACGAGTAGTTCTGCGGTATGCGCTTCAAATATTATGTATTATAAACTTTTAATGCTGATTGAAAGTATATAGTCACTTTTTTATGCAGCACGGGGGAAATATATCATATGCATATAATAATACCTATACGCCCATTAACGTGTGCATTAATACGTTCTCGGTTCGAGCTCGCACCTTGCCCGCGGCTAACGTCATTATTCTCACTTACGCTCATATCTTACCATTGGCTCGGAGCTCAGCTTGGCGTAAGAGAAAAAAAAACGTAAGAGGAAGGAGAAAGAGGTGCATCGATAAAGCGGACATATACGTTATATAGCGCGACGAATCGGCTACGCATGGATCAGGGTATAAAGGCAAGACAGCTCGACGCCTCGCCTACCTATATCCGAATCGGGCTGAATACTTTCTCAATGTGCGGCGCGAGTCTCGGTTTGAGCGACAAATTTGCCGCTAATAGAGACATCAATTGGTCTTTGCTACAATTCCATTTGCCGTATCAACCACATCAAATTGCTCGTCTACCCCTCGAGTTATATATAAAATTACGCGGCTGCACCGACTATATCTATATGAACGCAGAGCAAGATCGATACTTGGCCGAGAAGGGCATGAGTGATCAGAGAAAACACGAGAGCAATCAATCAATTATCTTCGAAAAAGTAGAATGGATATGAGAGAGCAGGTACGAAGTCGCTGTCCGAAAAGAGAGAAACAGAGAGAAGAAGAGAGAGAGAAAGAGAGAGCAGGTTACAGCACTGCGGCTGTGGCGGCGACGCACACATATGTATTTACAGCAGCAGCAGAGGCTGCTACGTATAGTCTCTTTTTTTTCAATAGCTTTTCAAAGTATATAACATATGTCAGCTTCGGACGTGTTTTACAATTTAACGAGCTGCAGTTCGCGTGCAGGAGCGAGTAGTCGAGTCCCGACTCCTTTTGTGCTGCTCCGCTGCGCTACCTGCGCGTACTCGCGCGCTCCTACAGCGTATAGTCATTTTTCTTTATTTTGTGTATCTTTGGTAAGTCAATTCTTTGGCTCTCGTTGCGCGTCGATCCTCGTGCGTTCGCTGCCAGTCACGTGCTCGCGCACACACGGTGAAACGCACGGCCAAACCACCGACCGAGCCAAATAAAGATATTACGTCGTACAGCAGCAGCAGCAACATGCAACGTCCGCACAGCACATATACACACATTGTACGCGCATCATGCACACATTGTCTGTATTATACAGGTATAGCCGCGTACACGAGCTGCGAATTTCGTTGAAAAGGCATATAAAAGTGTCCGGTTTAAGGGCTGCAGCCGCGAGTCGCGGGTTGATTTTCTTAAGCGTACATAAACGCGCTCCTATGCGCCGTTCGCGTGATTGATTGCTTCCGTGGGCTTTTGCCACGCTATATAATTTTACTTTGTTGAATACAAGAGAGCCATGCATACATATAATACACTCTCTCACATACACACACTCGATACACAAACTTCCTCTGGAGGCCGCATCTTTTACTCAGCTAACTTCCGTTAATAAATATAATAATAAGCCGCGCGCGTTATTTGCCTATACAATGTATCTGCGCGCATACACATAATATTATACATATATTCGACTTTGCGATAGAGGCCAAACAATCGCGAATATAAAACGAGCTTTGAGTATAGAGCAGCGCACGCGTGCGCTCCGTATAATCGGGGCCGCGACTTCGTCGTCTATTACAACGACAATGAAAGTCATTACTCGCAGGTGTATGCCCACCTCTATATATACGCGTACATTCTGTTACATTGTTGAACAAATATAAGCTAGCTGCACATTATGCATATGCCAGCTCTTGCTTTGCTTATTTCTGCTATACGTACGTGCATATGCCTCGACTCGCGCATATGTATACAGATATATATACCGATCGCTATCGCGTACGCCTTCCTTTTTTTTCTTATACGATCTCTCGACGAGTCTCGATCGATCGACGCGAGAGAGAGGCATATATTCCAAATGGCCAATAAGCAAACGAATATATATTAACGCGCGCACACCCAGCGTCGACTTATGGCTAATACACGCAGCTGAGCTCGAGACACTGCTCTTTGAAAGGGTCGTCGACTCGATCGTGGCGACTTGCCCGAGCGCCTTTCGCGTTGATGTTATTATTACACGCGTTTAAACAACTCGCCCTGTAACGTAAGCGAGCTAACCATAGCCAACAGTTAACCAGCCCGATCATTGCTTTTGTTGTTCTTAGGCGAGCTTATGACACGCTCGCGTTGCCCGATCGTATACTTTTTCTTTCTTATTTTCAGCAACTAGCGTAAAAAATTTTTCCTATATACATCCGATCGCCGTCGTAAAATTCCGCAGCTCGGCGACCTCGTGCGCGCGCTAGGCTACTTTTATTCACCGGGGGCCAGCAGCACATGCGCTAGTCGTTTTTACAGCGATGATTCCTCGAGTAAACTCTTCGCTGCTCGACCTTTTATGGTTCAACGAGTTACTCGGTCACTGTGTTGTCATCGCTCGCTCGTACTGCTGCTACTGCTGCAAAAAGCGACTTTGAACGGACAAAAAAAATTAGAATGAACCTCGATGAACCCTCCCGTACACGTACGCCAAGTTGATGATGATAATAATAATAATGATGACTCCCTGACGTAATCGATTGAGCGAGCAAATTGCTCGAAGAAGCTCGAGCGCGAAAGACGAGATGCGACGATGATTCGCAGAAGAAACTATAGAGGAATGCACATGTTGCTGCGCTAGAGCAGAAGAGCGACGCAGAGTAAAAAAACGAAAGAAATAAATTACGTCGAGGAGAGAGAGAGAGAGAGAGAGAGAGAAAAAGAGAAGAGCATGTATAAAACGTATATGTAACTTTCTCTACTCGAAGGAAATCGACTACGTTTGCCAATTTGAAGCTTACCGTTACCGCAGCACCTCAATCGTCTGCTGCTGTTCAAACTTCTGCCCTCAGCTGCTGCGTCTGTGCAAGTGCGCTTGCATGTGTGTGTATGTGTGTGTGTGTGTGTGTGTGTGTGTGTGTGTGTGTGTGTATACATGTCTCTGTGAGTGTCTACCAAACGTAAGAACGTGTGGCACTGGCCGAATCGATTTGAAAGAAAAGTTTTTCCGCTTCATCCTTCAGGGTGTATATGCTAAGTCTAGCAGTTCGGCCAGACCGAAGGCCGCGCCGCGTCGAAACTTTTCTCTTAAACCACACGACTTTCTAGGCTCGATAATTGATTTCCCGGGGCCGAGGGAGGCCAGCGCACATTTTTTGCCGTGACTAGACGTTTGAAAATTGTACTTGTTTATTATGTGCGCTGTATAGGTTGGTCGATCCACGGCAAATGTGTATGGGCAAAAACAGAGCAGCGACAAAATTGGAGCGAGGATGAAATAATGAGGTAAAAAATTTAATGAGCGAATTGTATCTCGAGAAGCGAGATGTCAAATAAAAATGTACGTATCAAAAGCTGGAGGATTCAATTTCGTCGTTCATTCATCGTTCGAGCTTTGCCGCTACGAGCAAGAGAGTCGGGCTAAAAAAGACCCGCGCGCACAGACTTTCTGCGTAGATATTCAGTAGGATGATCTCTCGAATCGTGAGAAAGAAAAAAAGGGTAAAAAAAAAAAATAAACAGGGAAAGACGTGGGGAAAGAGAGATGGTGCAGTGCTCGAGCGCACGTATATAATATACGTAGGTCGAGCATTGGCATTATCAACAAAGAGTGCAACGAAAAGAAGTTTTTAATGACGTGATCTGGCTGCGAGTCTGCATTTTGCTAGGCCAGGCCATCCATCCGTCGCTACTGCTGCTGCTGCTACTCCGTGTATATATACTCGGCTAGCTGCGAAAGTTTTTAGGCATTAATCGCCGAAAGGAGGCCGCCGCGCACGCGAAAGGGAGAGAGAGAGAGAGAGACGGAGCTGGACGCACGAGAGGAAAAAGTCATCTCGCGCACTCGAGTAATTAGACAACAAACGCCGCTGCAGTGCAGCTGCCAAACGCAGAGCACAGGATTTAATGGTAATGTCGCGAGGCTGGCAAAAGTCGATCGCGCTTCGGTATAAAGGAGGTTACATTGTCGGGCGGTGGCGGCCAAGGGATGATACCCGTACACACGGCTTTAATTATGCAGTCTGGAGCAGACGACAACGACGACGACGACGACTACGAAAAAATAAGCAAAAAACGACGACTACGACTTTGGGCATACGAGCTTTGTACGACACTTGGGAAATTGTCAAGATTGCGCGTGCTGTGCTGTACGCCTTTTTTTTCGTTTCGAAACGACGCAAGCTCGGGCTGTTTGTTTGACTTTTCAGTGCCACGCGTCGATTTGTTTGAGCGGATGTTATGTGCGCGTCCTCGTCCAACGCTACGTCCGACGTGTATAGAGGCACCGGGCTAATGGTATTAAAAGTTTTATATGCGTACAGAGCGAAAAGTATAAAGAAAAAGAGGAGAATGAGAGAAAAGGAAAAAAATTTCAACTTCTTATCAAATAAGCTTTGATATTTACTCGGGGAAATTCGCTGCGCATACATTATTATATGGATCAAACATTCTTCCGTAAATCAAGTGATTCCGACTCTGGCAGCGGCGGCGGCGCGCAGAAAAGGCCAACTTTTTTCTCTCCGCCCAGGTCAAGTATGTTTTAGCAATGGAAGTTTCGCCCAAACGAATATTTACCATATCGCGTACGTTAATAAATGTGTGTGCTCTGTGTGTGTGTGTGTGTGTGTGCGAGCCACGAGTGCAGAGCGAGCATCTTCTCTCGAATATGAAAATACCACGGCGATGGTCAAGTGCAGCGACGACGCGTTCTCGGAATTCCGCGCGAAACTATTATAACCGCGCGCGCGCGAGTACGAGCAACCTCACTGTGCAGCGCTGCCGAGCCTAGCTATAGAGCTTGATGCGCGCCGGCCTTTTGCCTATATCGCCTCACGCATACATATTATATACAGATGTATATATATATATATAGGTACAGAGAAAACTGCAGCATCCATATATATGTGTGTACTTACTCGGATGCGCGCGTGAATCTCCATTATTACGACTATCTATCTGCCAGTGGATTTTAAGCGCGCGCACCGATACATCCGTACGTAGCCGAGTAAATACGTTGTTTTTTTCTTCCCCTTTTGCTCGCAGCGCAGTTTTATCCTTGGCCGTAAAAGGCTGCCTCTCTCTCTCTCTTCTCTCTTCGGTGTCGGATAAGATTCGCTACTGCAAACATACGCGCGAGAAAAGTAATTATCTTATCTCTCTCCGGCGCTGCAAGTGTATACAGAGAAGATCTTGAAGAGTTTAATGTTCATTTTGAGTACGCTAGGCTATAGCCAATGTGTATATATATGGGCACACATACGCGTCGTCTATATATATGTACCTAGCGCGTATGTATTCGCACGCGTATTGGCCTGATTGGCATCGGCTAGAAACGACATCTTTGATTTATCCTCTCGCAGCAGTAATTCAAATAGAAACTGCCTCTGTGTGTGCGCTACCAGAGCCATATCAAAATCAAAGTATGCGGCCACGAGCGAAACTTGTTTTATCCGATGCTTATGTTCTAGCAGCGCGGTTGGATTTTGATTATGTTTCTGTATCGGCTCGAGCTCATCGCGAAAAAATCCTTAATTGTTTCTCCCGATCGCTGAGCTCCGTGTGAGTGTGCACGATAAGACGTACTTTTTCTGCGGTACAATACAAGCGGGGCCCGTATCACTGACGCCAATAAATGATCTTTCCAACGATTATACATGGCGCAAGCCGGAAATTTGAATGTGTACGCGCTTTTTTTTACGCTCGCCGAGAGGCAAGCAACGGTTATTTTATTGCCGATACAATTTCGAGTCTCTCTCTCTCTCTCTCTTGCGAGATCGTCGATCGATGCGTGAATACTTCATAGTTATGCTTCGAAGCTTGAAAGTCGCGCATGTGAGTGAAAAGAGAAAGAGCGAGAGGATATGGAAGAAAGAAGCCCGGCCCCGTGTATCCTGCGCACACGAGTCGTACATAGCAGTCAGAAAAGTGTATCGTGAATAAAGAACAACGAGGGCTCGAGCAGTAGTCGTAGTTTGTCCGTTAAGTCTTTTTTACGAATGTAGAGCAGCGTCGTTTTTCGTCAGCACAAAAAGCACATGAGAGTGCGCGCCATGAGATGGGCACGCAGAGGAGGTAGGACATGATGGGCGCGCACTTAGCCCGTTGGCTTCGCAAGTAGCCCCTTCGGAGATAAAGGCTGCGGACTAATGCAAAGCGATAAAGGACGACGAGCGGGGCCAAGATTCGCCGCATGCGGACTCACGACTCTGTGGCTACTCGTGCCGCTGCTGCCGCTGCTGATGCTACGTGGCTGAGGTAAGACGAAAAAATCTCGACGTTTTCGTATTCCTCTGAGCGCGCCTGATCCTAGCCGAGGATTTCAGCGACGAAAAAAAATGATGTAATATCGGCCTTCGAGATCGCATCGATTAATTCGCCTTTGGCCTTTTCACCCCTGCTTGACAACCAGATTATCCCTCCCCCTCTCCCCTCTTTCTCTCGCGATGATTATAAATCAAGGATTGCTCGGCCAGCTTGCACGTACTTTTATTCTCGCAACGCTCAATGCACGAAACTGCATTCCTCGGGGCCTTTTTTCCTGTAATATCTTGTAATATCTCTCTCTCTCTCTCTCTCTGCTTCGGCGAAAATACACAGGCTGCATTTTCATAGATGGCATATAGGAAAATCTGCGCGCGGCTGATCGATTCGATACAAGCTGGCGAGCTTCGACGCGATAGGTACACGGCGGCTTGGCTTGCTTGCTTGCGCGCCTGAACGTATACTCGCTGCCAGAGCCGGGCGCACACACAGGCTCTCGCACACATTACGAGGTAACTAAGACGCTTAGGTGTATATACATAAAAGCTTTGGCATCGCTGCCGTTGCAATACAACGCATGTAAACGGTGCCGTGTATTATGTCTATGGATGTGAGTGTACGTTTATGTATGTGTGTGTGTTCGTATACACATCGCCTGGAGTCTGATAATTCTCCTCCTCATACATATAATATATATTAATGAAATTCCAGTGCAACGATGTGGTATGTGTGTATCGCCACGCGCGCGTGTGGCTATGTGTGAGCACGTACAACGCCCATATATATACTTGTATGCGTGTACTTCTATCGCGTTTGCCTCGACTTATACCCAAGACTCAATAAGGTACCTATATAACTCGTACCTGCGCACAGTAGAGCCCCATGATTTTCATCAAACAAATTTAATACGACAATGCTATAGCGCGAGGCTGCTGCGCTACGCTATACGCTCTTCCTCCTTATTATTACTATTATAATAATTATAAGCGTATAATATATTTATATAAGTGCATCAATTAGTGGCCGAGCCACAAAGGACCAACGCGCGCGCCTGTACAGACTTTAACAATTTAACAAATAGACTCGCTCGCGACGAGTAAAAACTTAATCGCCGACGGAACTATAACGCTCGAGCAAAAAGGAGCCACGATTGTCACACAAACGAGCGATAATAACGCGCGAGTGCGAGGGATATTCCCTCTTTCTCTCTCTCTCTTTGGATGATGTATAAAGCTCTTCGAGGATGCCATTTAACAGCGTTCACCAATGCGAAAGAGAGAAGCAGCTAAAAAAGCAGCAGCCGTGGGTTCAAATAAAATCAAGAGAAAAGGCCGGGAGAGGAGTATTCGTTCATTAAATTAAAGCCAGATTCTCCTAGGCTTGAGCTAAATCGAGAGAACTTTGAATTAGAGAAAATCGCGCGCGAGCGCCGCGTCCAGCCGAGAAAAGCCCGTGTATGTGACGTCGGGCCAAGTTAGAGTATAATAACGCTGGAAAACGCCCGGACGTGCGGTGTAGCGGACGTGACCCGCTGCTCGAGACGCTTTTTCGATAAACCGAGAGCAGACTCGACTGCCGCCCAGTGCGCACAGCCCACAGCCCCGACGACCTCATCTCTCTTTTTTCTCTCTCTCTCTCTTTTATTCGATACGATTCGCCACTTTTATCAAATTCATGTACTTTAATAAGCCAAAGTATATCGCGCGATACTTACGTGTGATCCTTGAGAATTGTTTCGATTTTATTCGTGTTGACCGACCAGACAAAGATCGAACCGTCGGACGAGCCAACAGCGACGTATTGACCATCCGGGCTGAAGCAGGCTCGGCTCCAATCGCAGACAACTTTGAAACCATCAGCGCTGTAAATCGAATAAACTTTAGAGCCGATGTTTATCGATAAACATGTATGGCTTACTCTTCCATCGAGCAATGCTTATTATTTTCTTTGTGCGTCGGCCAAATTAAATAATTTAAATTCGAAAACATTTCAAGTGAAGAAACAAATTCAATTTAAAAATGAAAATTCAAGCACATAATATTTAAATTAAAAATCAATAAGCAGCTGTTTAAGAATATATTAGCATTTAAAAGTGAAACGTCAACGAATTTCGGCATAAAAATTAAAATCCGAGCAAATTAAAAAATTTAATTTAAAAACGTAAAAACTGATCAAAAGCTAAATAAAATTCGAGGGGAAAAAAGGTATCTGAAGTTTTACTTCTTTCGCTTACGCTAGATACTACATAATTAAATTGCCATGAAATTTCAGATGCCTTTTATTGTTTGGATGGATTTGTTTGTTGGGTTTCATTGGAGTTGGATTTGGAGTCTGCATTCGTACGATTATCACACTAAACTAGGTAATGCCAACGCGACCAAAGAAGTTTCACTTCAAAAAAAAAAAAAAGGCAACTACAAGTATACGTATACAGTGTTGTCGATTTCTTTTGCCCTCACAAAGCTGACAAATATTTTAATTAAAGCTCTCTTTCTCTCTTGCGAGTAAAAAATGGAATTCTCTCGATTGTTATAAAAAGTGAATTGCGCGGCTGATACGATAGAAAGAGACCCTATTTCTTCAAATAAAGATTCGACATTCGTGAGCTTGTATGTGTGTGTGTTGGAGGACACGCGGATGAACGAAAGGAATCGTAGCGTGGAATTTTTAATTAAACCTTCTAGAATGCGATATATTGCGCTTCTCCACTCGCGAAAAATGTATAAAAACCGAATCTCCGATTGTGATTGACGATCAATGTCCATCGACAAATTGAAACAGATTTTCGATATCGCGCATTGTTCGTTTTTTTCGCGTTGCAAAATTGAACTTTAGATGTGTGTATGCGCGCAATCGCTGTTATTTCTCTCGGACGCAGAAAAAGTTAAAGTTAATAATTTCGTTTACCTGAACGATGATACGATCATTTTCATTCGCAGGTCTATCAGCTTTAGCGTATCGTCTCTCACACAGCTCAGCAAAAAGTTGGCATCTGAAAAAGAACGATCGAATGCGTTATTTTAATAAAAGTAATTATGGATTGTGAAGAAAAGTCGTATCTATTGTATGGCATACCTCTCGACAAATCAAGTGACGTGATTTTCCCTTGAAGCTGGAGGTTGGAACCGGTCTCGGTTCTCGTGTCCCAGAATCGTATTGTCTTGTCGAAGTGTCCACTGATTATCGTCGAACCGGAGCCATCGGACGTGACGAGGTCGTTACAACTCGAGCCAGCGAATTTCGTCTCGATGCCTATGGAGCAGAAGCAGAAGCGTAAGCAGACGACGCATCGTGCGTAACGTATATATTTTGTATATATATTCAATTTCATAGAAGCGCATCTACAGGCGGAGCTTTGTGATTACTTTTGCGCGTCGCGCGAGTCTTGTAATTATAAAATCTGCGTTCACGCGCAGTGCAAACTTTATAATCAGTGAATTATTTCCGAGAAACTACTGTCAACAAGAGATAGAGCCGAGGAGCTGAAAATCAAGTAGATCTAATATGGCGCGCATCCTAAGAATAACAGGTAAAGGCGTAGTGCAGTTGCTTCGCGGAAGGGACAAAACAGCTGCGTAGCTGCTTCGACACGCGCCTCGCGGAAGAGAATCACATGCAGCCGCGTGTCGTGAATCGCGAAAATTAATCTTTTTATATGAACCACACGTAGGCTCGTCTGGCGATCAGGCGCACTCGCTATATATATGCGCTATATTGTGCCACGGAGCGCTGCTTTGGATGGCCCCCTGCGTCATCGGCTGCTCGTCAATGTGTCAATTTGGCCGGCTAATTCCCTTTGTTGGCGCGCCTTTTTGCTCGAATAAATAGCTGATTAGTCCGTGCTCGCGCGGTGTGTTATTCGTGTGCGATATACATAAACAATATCGCGGCATTATAGAAATCGATTCGTGCGAGGCAGATTGCAGCGCGCCAGGCGCAGAGCACACGCAGCGGCAGCAGCAGCCACGAGTACGGGACGGCACAAAGGAGACAAAAGATAATGCAACTTTAATCAGGCAAAATCTAGCTTTGGCCGAGCCAGTTGAATCTGACGTGGATCACTTGGCAAATATAGCTCGACTGCAGCTGACAGAGAGCTATACTGTATCGCTAAAAAGTCTCGTTCATCGTTCGCTGCAATTATTCGGCCTCGCTTGCAGTGTGCTCGATATATTGTTTGCGCGTGCCTCTTCGCTAATTTTCCTACTCGATCGCGAGCGAATTCGAAAGCGAGCGAGGGGAAACGAGCGCGACGCGAGTGACGTCGCAGCTAGCTTACACCGAAACTCGGCAGAATATAAAAGCCAATGGGAATTTAATGTCCTTTGAATAATTTGCCAGCTTGGCTGCTGCTGCTACTGCGGCCGAGCCGTACGCGCAAATATTCCTACATATCCATCGCCACGCTAATTTGGTTATTTCGTGGGAAGTAGGCCACGTTGTGCGAGAGCTGCCGCATACACACGGCTCAGCAAGTTCGTTCTCTCAAGTGCGATAGCTGCACACACATCTAGTGGCGAGTTGCCACAGAGACAGACAGAGGGAGAGTGAGAGAGAGAGAGAGAGAGAGAGAGAGATGAAGCCGTCGTCACTTAGCTCGTCTAACGTATATAGCTATCGCTCTTCCAGCCATATAAACGCGTTGTCCGCGCTGATGAACGTTGCGAGCAGCAGCAGTCCAAAGGGTTGAGTGCGAGGCGCAGAACTAGCGTAGCCGAATCAATTTCCATTATTCACGCTCGATTCACCGTTAAAGAAAATTTAATTGGGTCCCGAGAATTCGAGCGACAAAGCGCGAGCTAGCTCGACTGTGGCCGAGGTAGTAACATTTTTCCATGCGGATCGCCTGCAAGTGGAGCCGCCAACGAGCGCAGTCGAGAGAGAGAGATGCTTCTCTCTCGCTCTCTCGTCGGTGTTATTGTACGGCCGAGAGGAATGTCCGGCGCGTTTTACATCCTCGAGCCTCGCCGAGCCTTTATATTCAATGTCTCTATGGAAAAGATAAAGCGTCGATATGGCGCTCGGAGAGCCTTAACTATCGAGTTAATAAATGCACGAGCTAGGTCAGTACCTACTCGCGCAGCAGCGGCGGCGGCAATTTATCCAGCTCCGAGTCTTAATTTTTCAATGAAAATAATTTAAAATAATTACAGAATTTTATGCCACCAGTGAAAAGTTTTTGCCTCGCGCGCATACGCACGTGCGTGTTTATATACACTCGTTCGACAAATTCAGAGCAGCCTCGTAATTTATACATTTAGCTAGCGCTAGCTATGTAGCGCCCCGTGTATAGCTCGCGCGTATCTTCCTATACAGCATTAAAGTCAAAAGCATTTAATTGAGTTTCCAGGGGAGGTGCGAGGGGTTTGCAGATAAAAAAGGAGCACGCGTATACACGTACACACATATAGGCGGGCTCGCGTCTAACCTCAGGGCAGGAGAGTAAACTAATTACTTGTTTTGCATGCCAGAGACGAGTGCATATATATATACCCACACACTCGCACCTAGATACACGCACACGGGCGCGAGACCATATAGGCAGGCTTGTAATAAGCATATAGCGAGGGGGCAGCACTCAAGCTGCCAAAAATGTGCGGCTTTCCAGACCGGATTTCCTATATACAAACGCGATGCGCGTAATCTCGAATTTATACGTACGCAATGCACTCCGTTCGCGTGTCAATTACACTGAGAGAGAGTGAGAGAAGAACGAGCAGAGCAGAGCAGAGCAGAGCAGAGCAGAGCAGAGCAGTGCAGAGCACTTGGTGTAAAAATTTAGTTTTAAAACCCCGACGTGGAACAATAAAAGCAGCCTCGGTGCAGCTGCAACTCCTACTGTTCCTTTTTTTTTCTCATCATTTCTCCTCCGCATGTGTACTTTGCGCGTATCCTTCCGCATGCGCCAACATCGTAGACACTGCACTGCAGCGAGGCAGTACGCAGAAATCATTAAGGACGTTACAAGTTTTCAGGCTTGTGCAGGCGCAGGCACATCTCTATATATCTATATGGCCGAGCGAGAAAGAGCAAAATTCCATTTCCCTGGGATGAGTAATGTAAGAGCCGAGCGCGCCGCTACTGCAACTATTGCAGCTAGTGTTTCTCTCGCTCTCTTCTCTTACTGTACGTACTGTACGTACACATCCCATATACATATAATGTACTGCAATGGGCGCGGTTTATAATCGCCGTTTTCTCTCTGTTGTGGCTCTAGTGGCGTGCGTAAATGTAAGCCTGTAAGTGTCGAGCTCAGGGATGTGAAAGCATCGTCCGTGTACGCTTCTTCTCTCCCGCGCGGCCCATTCGTCGCGCCACAACGTGTAATAAAATTTGTACTCTTTGACAAGTTTTTCGCCGCGACGACGAGCTACCTCGTAGCTGCCGACACGATCGTTACGAACAATCGAAGGCGCGCATTAAACCTTTGCGGCCCGGATTATAATGAAAAACCGGCTTGGCATGTAGCACTCGACTCAATCTATACGAGGCAGCTGCGGACTTTGAGAACTTGAAAATTAAAACTTTGCAACAATAACAAAATACCTCGGTGCACTGCTGCTGCTGCTGCTGCTACGCATCGCGCGAGGCCGTTCCAAGGACCTCGGCAGTAGCAGAGCTCGACTCTCGAGTACCTCTCCTCTCTTCAGGCTTGCATAATAATTTTTCAAAACTTTTTTTCTAATTTTTTTTTGTAACATCCGCACGATGAAAAAGTTGGCCCCTTCCGGGCGAATAAATATTCATTTTCACGGTATGTATATACCCGCGTGCTCCGATGTGCAGTGCAGCAAGGCCGAACCTCGACTCGAGCACAATATTCCTTTGCTCGGAAAATCGCTACCAGCAGCGACGGCAGTGGCGGCAGCATCAGCAGCAGCAGATAAATGAACCTTTAACGAGCGCCAGTTCGTCTAAGTACATGGAGCGCTGCTAAGGTGAATGATTTTTCATTTTGCTGCCGCGAGCCTCTCGGTTCTCGCTCCTTGGCGCGCCGCGCGGCTCATGCTTGTAACGGCCTGCACGGTCGAGGAAAAACAAAAAGGGAAAGAAGCTCCTCCCCGGCAGATTGAGGCGCGCGCGTGCGCAAATTATATGCGAGTAATGCCTAATTAAATATTCAAAGGGTATACAATCGATTAATCTGTTTACGAGACTCGCGTCGAGCTAGTCGGCGGATATTTATTAGGGGATTCTACTTCGGAAGATTATTATTGACGCGCCGACGTTGAAAAGGTTATTGTTATTTTTTTATTTTATTTTATGGCTTCGTCCATTCGTTCCTTCGTTATCTCGTCAAAGATGAAATGATTTTAAGATAAATTTATGCAGCCGAGGTATAGTCCTCATTTTATTAAGCCCGAGTATAGACTGCTTGCGCTGCTGGAAATACGCGAAGAAGTTTATCCGTCCACCGCCATGGTTTTTTTCTTCCTACCCGTCAGTTTTATTCAATCAAGTTTTGAAAGAGAGAAATAGCCGTTCAAAAAGGCACCTCGAAGTTATTTCTGATGTTGAATTGCTCTCCGCGGTGCGTGTCACGGGGAGAGAAAAAAAGAAGAAATTATTTAGCTTTTCATCGAGGGTACCCTCGAAGGACGCTAATTGTGAAAACGACGTTATTTCAAGCTTTTCGGAGCAATGGGGGATGGCTAACGAATCACGTATTAATTCGCCGTGATTAGCCATGTGCGCGCATGCGAGGCGTCTCTTTGATTTTGCTAATACTTGTTGCCGTGTGTTACGCGTTGTGCGCGCCACTACCACCACCACCACCACCACCACTGACGCCGCCGTCGTTGCTGTTGCTGCTACGCGTGAGAAACGAGAAACGAGAAAATCATCAACGAGCTCCACGCGCACCAAACTCTACGTACGTACGTACGTGCTATAATTATCGTAGAGAAACGAGTCAGTGTCAAAATTTTAAAGCTGTTTACGCGCATATAGCTGCAGGTCTAATGAGATTTTGCGCGCGCGATAACGGCCGGGGGTTGTGTGCTCTACGAACGCCAGTGTGTGTGGGTGTGTGCAATGGCACTGTAGGGCATCTGGCCAAATTTCGCATGTGATTCTCAACAATTATCGTAATGCTTAGTACGTATATGCGGCGCGTATTTATACATTTTTAAGCAGTGGTCCATGGAGATTTTAGATAGCTGCACACGCGCGCCTCGTATTATAATGCTTTTACAGCGCTATAGCCGAGCTTTTAACAGGAGCGGCTCAAGGTGACAATTTACGGCTTGGCCCGACACTTAATGCAAATTTCCACCGGCCGGATTGTAAAATTAACAAAATTTTAACCCCGAGCGGACTCGTTATTACATACATATTACTTACGGAAGAATTTATCGATTTTTTCAAAGTTATAAGCGCGTTGAGCGAGGTCGAGGTAGAAGGGGAGGCTGAAAAGATGTAAAACTTACAAGCCTTGCTTCGCAGATCCCAGATCTTGAGGGTGCGGTCGTAACTGCCGGTGACCACCTTGGTCGCATCGCCGAGAAACTTGGCTGCCATCACTTTGTTGCTGTGGCCCGTGAGAGTGTGCTGCAACAAAAGAACCAGACAAGAGCTTCAATTTAGAGCTTCCGCAGCTTTCTTTTTCGCTTCCTTCTCTCTTTTTTTTATAGATCCATTGAGCGGAAAAGTTCGTTGCGCGAGCTTTTAATTCTTTTTTTTTCTTCTTTTCATATTAAGCGTTTCGGTGCGCATACATAGCTTGCACACCGCGAGACGTGTCGAATGTTCGGGGTGGGATTATAAAAGTTCTAATTTATTAACGACGTGGCGTTTTTCCAATGGGTATAATGGAGAATAAATCAAGGCGGGAGCAGCGGGACGCGGCCGATAATTGATAAATAATTCATATAATCGGGGTGGCTGTGGGCATTTTATTAATTTATCAAGAAATCTGATGGGCCGTGATTGCTTCCGGAATTTGATATTCTTATTAAATTGCCACACACGCGCGTGACAGAGACACGTAGGTCCCCTTTGTAAATATTATAAATACTGGTCGAATAAGCAAAGGAGAGCACACGCAAGCACGCGGCTAAGCGCGGCCGAGATCTAAGAAGACGAGTTTTATAAATAAGCGATCTATCTGCGCGCGCGTCTGTGTGTTTTACGCCATGTTGTCGATTATTAATGCGAGTAGATTAAACTTATTGATGGTTTACACAGTGGGTGGCTGTGCATAGTGCATATACCAACATATTTGTTATTAATGATCTATTCACTCTGTCTAAGTGCGTGCATGTGTGTGCATACTAGTTCTTCAGCTATTTCATGAAGCTGTTGATCATGCATCTTGCGCGCTAAACCATCTTTCCCATTTTTAACGAACAAATGAATCTACTCGATCACGTTAACTTTGGCAAAAAAAACAGGAGAATTTTTTTTCTTCGCGGATATTTGTATTTGTTTTGCACTGGGAGGAGAAAGAGGAACGAGGAAGGAGCTCGGTATATTGGAAAGCAAAGTTTTTAATGTACAAGCTGGTAAGTTGAGAGGGCCCCTGGTCGGCTTTTTCGTTTACTTTGAAGAGTTAAGTTTTCTTTCAAGGTAACGTACAACCGAAAGGTTTTCCGAACAACTTTTTTATGGCGCACCCTCGTTTTTTTCGTACGCTAGCTGCACGATCAACCAGCCAGAACAATCGTCTCTGCATTACTCTTTCACTAAAATTATGGCGGTTACTTTTTTTTTATTTCTATTATCGTTGTTTTGGAATAATATTGCTATAATTTAGAAACTGAATAGCGCAAACGACGACGTTGCATCTCGAGAGAGATAATATGGGATCGCAACAAAATAACTTTGCTCTTTCTCTCTCACTTGAGTTCTTTAGTTTACATATAAGTACAAGCAGTCTCAACTTTCTTATCTATCGAATTTCTTCGAAACGCAGCGCTAAATCTTGCAAACTTTTCGTTTAATTGATTTAGAGGGCGAAATTAAATGATTATGGAGTAGCTGTGCGACGACGAAGATCGCTTACTTTGTAAAGCTCGATTATGGGGCTAAAATAAGCGATAAAATTGAAACGAAAGTTTGGATAAGAAAAAATATACATGCTGGGGAATGCAGGTTTCGTCTGGCTATAACTGATGAAGTAAAACTTTTCTCTTATCTTGCATATACATGTATACATATAAAGAGAGCGAGAAAAAGAAAGAGATGCACACGGACACACGAATACAGTCGGAATAAAGAAAAGAAGGTTAAGTTATTCCGGTATTCAGTGGAGTTTACGTCAGCATCTTGGCAATTTAAAGTTCCAACAAGAGCCAGTCCGAAGTATCGTAAAATTTCACTCTCTTTCCACGCACTCGTTTCTTCTTTATGCCAAGAAGCAGCAGAAGAAGAAGCAGCAGCGGCAGCGCCAGGCAAGAGGTATGACAACGGGCCAAGAAAAGTCTTTTACCGCATCATCGCAGTAATATTACATAGTTTTGAAGGAAACTGAAGCAAAAAACGGGGAGGTTGGAAGGGGGGTTGGAAAGAAACGTGTGCATACGTATGTAATACCAACAGAGAGAGAGAGAGGAAAAAGTTTGCTTCGTGACCTCGTAGGCGAGGACTACTTTATGCTCAAAGCTGCTGCACACACGCGAACTTTACCGATATCTTCTAGGAAAGCGTTCTCTGATCGCGGGACACGAGTCGGGAGCTGCGAGCTCGAGACGCTGTAACGTACGTAGCCTATACACATGCCACCCACTGTACATAACGCATACGTGCATAAAGTACCAGTACCAGGAGGGGAGCGAGAGAGAAAAGACAGCGAATATAAATATATAACGTAACGCTAATGCTTGTACCGTTGCGAGTGGTACTGCACTACTCTCGGCTCGAGCTTCTATTATCATTCGCTTTTCGCGGTAATGCATTCGTTTGGATTATTCATATATACACAATATATATGAGCGCGCGCGCGCGTAACTCGATAGCGAATACACACACACACACACACACACACACACACACACACACATGCACGCATAACGTTCCAGAGAGCAGAAAAATTGATGCACGCGAGGAAAGGAGGGAGTCCCCTCATTGAGCGCCGATGTATAAATCGATCAATTGTTCGCCGCGCGCTCCACGTGAATTACATTATATGTGCAATGTAGCGTGACTCTACGTTCTTCTCTCTCTCTCTCTCTCTCTCTCTCTCTTTCTCTCGTTCGCGCTCGACGCATATTATAACAACGATAATATGCATGCGAGAGCTGGGCCTATATATCTCAAGATAGAGGAGCTCGAAAGGAAAGAAGAAAATGAAGAAAAAATGGTAGGATAATGTACACAGTCCAATCTCTCATGAGGCTGTCTTGGCAGCTACTCCTCGCAGGCCCTATGCGTCTAATTACTAAACAAAGTCCCGCGCTCTCGGGCTTTATAATAGATCCGTGTGCACGCACAATCAGTTGTTTCTTTTTAACTCCTCTTTCATTTGTCCCAGCTCCCTACCTCTCTCTCTCTCTCTCTCTCTCTGTCTCTCTCTCTCTTTCTATAGAAAAATACGAGCCGAGTGAAAAATTAAGCAGCTATATACATTATATGGGATAGGCTGGCTTGCGGGCACAAATAAGCTGATGTAACTCGAGTTTGAGAGAAAAAAAAGAATGAAAGAAAGAGAGCCTGCGAGAGAAGAAGAAAAAGCGTTGGCAGCAGCAGCAGCAGCAGCAGCAACAAAAAAGAAGCGGATAAACGCAAAAAACAAAAGCGCAGCTCTGCAGCTCTATTGCGCGCAGAAAGCGCCTTGCCTGCAGCGTATTTTAATATAAACGTGCATATGATATAGACGCGGGCGCGAGCGAGCCCTCGGTAAAAGCATAGCTGTATATGGAAAGATATAGAAAAACCTGTGCTCGAGCTGGCGCATCTATACAATAATGAATGTATGTATCATATCGCGACGTAGCAGCAGTAGTAGTAGTAGTGGGAGCAGCGGCAGAAGCAGCTCAGAGGGCATATCAATTACGCAATATCGATGTACGTGTACGTAAGGGAGGGGAAAAAAATGAAAAAAAAAATTAATAAAGAATCCCGCGGCAAAGTTCGTCGTCACACGTAGAAAAACTCGACTGCGCGTTGAATGAAAAAAAAAAAAAAAAAAAACAAGTTGGAAAGCCAAAGGGGGATGCGAGGCTTACACGCATAAATAATGACGTCCCGAAAGAGGTCACGCGAGTAGGTGCGGTACTCGAGAAGCTAAAACCTTTGAATTCGAGTCTGCGTAGAGCTACTCCACAGAGCACAGTCGGCAACATCGTGATGCGTTTGAAATTGCAGGTGAATGCGCATTCCTGGTGAAGGTGCCTGTACCGTACTACTACGATCGATTTTACAAGACAGAAATTCGTGTCGCGCTCGAGCTTGGAAAATCAGCTCTCGATTGATAAAGAAAAAAAAATCCAACCTCGAGCGCGACAAAGTGTGCCAGGCAAAAATATCGAGCTGCGTATACGTACGACATACGTGCGCGGTGCACTGTGCAGGCGTTACATAGCGCACGCATCGAGTTCGACGACCGGCGAGACTCTTCCGCGCTCGGCTCCGCGGCCTTGGCGATTCAATGCCCCGCACCAGATAACTCACTCTCTTCTCTCGCTCTGCTCCTCCTTCCGAGCGCTGCCTCGCTTCTTCTTCTTCTTCTTCTTCTTAGCCGCTAGATAATAGATTATTTCATACGTGTAACTAGTTGCGCGCGCGCGAGAGCGACAGAGAAAGGATCGCAGCTGGGTATGATGCCATACAGCCGCTACTCTCGTGCGACTCCTCCACGAGAAAGGGGAAGACTTTTTTCCCAGAAAAATATTTATATATATACACACAGAGCGATCACGTTGATGACTGACTTTAGACAAAATGTTCATTAAAGTACACGTGTATTACGGTGAGAGAAGCTGAGCTCGCTAGAGCTAATATCATTATCGACGGCGATCATCTGCAGCGCAGCGAGAGAACAGCGCAAAAATGAGATTACATCGTATATACGTTATACTTGAGCTTTATACACAGAGCCGAGTAATGGCTTGTGCTTTTATATCGTATTTATAACGATGACAAGTTATTTCGTGGCCGCCACGATACGCATTTAAAATAATAAAAGACGCGAAAAGTCGTTTCTCCAGATCGGCTGAAAGGCCAGATACATACACGCGTATATGCCCCCTGTCAAATGAATCACACACGGCCAGCCGAGGATCGTTACGCAATGCAGCTTTCCTCGACCGCACTCGCGCGCAGTAATGCCGCTGCTATCCTCGCGCATCTTTTATATTATATGCATCTCGGCAGATTCTCGCGGCAGATAACGAATTATATTTCGATTTCGTTACATCGGGGCCGTGAAATTTATACGCGCGCGAGCGATATATAGGTAATGGACGCCACGATACACGTACTGCACATGCGGAATTTATGAATAGTAATAAGCCGTCGCGATTCTCTTCTTGGCGGTGGATCGCCGAGCGCAGCGCACATGTATCGCTACCAACAGCTGGAATAATATCGCTGCCTGCCGTGTACGTGTTCGC